AATATCGTGGGGAATTTCTAGCAATTCCGTAAACTCAAACGGAGCGATAGGAGCAACCTTTTCACTCAGTTGAAGACAATAAATATGAATAGCTACTAGCATTGAAGACTATTCCGGAATTAGACTAACAGTGGAAATTACTTGAAAAAGAATGCCTTAAATTTTGAAAAATAAATTAAGAATTTTAAAATGATAAACAAAGTCATACTATTTTTGGCTCTTAGTAGTATGTGACCCCCTAATCGTTCGTTACTCCACTGTCATGGTTAAGATGATACGAAACTCTTTTATTCGAGAGAGCTGTCAAAACTAGCAATTTTTATAACCTATCCCATTTTATATTAACTTTTGGGTATTTTGCAATTTTCACACTACTATATATACTATATATACATGAAAAACTAAAACAATTCATAAAAAATATTACAATTTGTATGCTAGTACTAATAAGTACGCAGATATGTAAATACATTTTGAATAATTAATGTAACTATTTGAAATAAGTAATAAACAGAAAAACAAAATAATTCATAAAAAACATCACATATTTAAGAGAAATGTATTCAATAATTAATTGCTATAACTTAAAACATAATTTACATATATATTGGATATATATTCCGACCACAAGTTTCTATTATTATTGAAATTTTCGCTAAATTATACGAAACACTAAATTAAACACTTTGAAAATGCATATATATAAATGTTAAAATGCAAACTGATTTCGTCAGTTAATTATATTTCAGGCATTCCGCCTTTTCTCCTATCAGCTGTTCAAAATTCCCTGATCTCCAACGCTGTCAAATAATCAGGGAACGCGTTTGAGAGAAAAATGAGAACCAATACGAGAGTTTCGTATCATTTTATCTATGCCACTGTTCCTCCTATGTTTGTGTAGAGTTTACGCTGACCATACTCTCTTCTCTATGGAAATAGCAGCGCACAGTTTAACCAAAAAAAACACTTTCTACTTATTATGAAAATGAATTATTTTTTATTCATTAAAGTCAAATAGTAAATATTTTTCTTGTTACATAAAATAAAGCATGATGAACAATATTAAATTTGGGTCGATGTATAAAAAGGATGCATGTATGTTTAAGTAGGTTAAGAATTTTCATTAAATATATACAGATGTTTAGATATTTATGTATATAAATATATAACCTTAAATTAATAGAATAGAAAAATAGTTTATTGTGTATAGCTTTAACCCTACCGTTATGTGTATATGTATGTAAATAGTTTGCTGATATTTATCTTTTTCGAGACAATAGGAACTTAATGAACAATCTGCACTTTATATGTTTTTATGCACATTTACATTTATACATACTTGTAAATAGTACATAAAAGCATATAAATTAGCAAACTTATTATTACTTATTTTGGTATTTTGCAAATATATACCTTCGTATGTACGAGTATGTCTTGCTTTTCCAATCTTAACATTTTTAACCACTGAACCAAATTATTTACTTCAAATATTGATAAACATTTTAACCTGTTCTACTAAAGCTAAAAAATGGCTCACTCGAAATTATGCGGTATTAATTGTTTTCACAATGGTTCAAATTTTGATTTGGTAAATTTAAATATATTTTGTAGATTACATATAAATATGTTTAGGTATAAGATACAATCTCAACCATTTATATTATTATAAATAATCTTAAATGATAATCTTAAATGATATAGTAAAACAAATAGTTTAAGAAGATCATCATTTCACCATAGTGCCTTATATTTACCAAATAGCACATATTTTTCAGAGTTTCTTCACGGTAAAAAAGTAGTAATATATACAAAGTAGTAATATATAAAAAACAGAAAAAGAAATAAGTCCCAAAATGAATCGAAATGAGCAATTATCAGAAAAATGGAAATCTCCTTAAGAAAAAAAACAACTTTGATTTGCACTTTCAGAACTAGATACATGTTTTGACAACTGAAGCTAACGGATTGCTAACTCAAAGGAGCCGAATTTTTTAAAATTAATTTTTCTAAGTGAATATAAAATCTTACGAAATTTTTTACTTTCTCGAGTCCTCGAAGAAAAAAAATTAATGTCAGTCATGATGTTTTAATGCTTGTGTATAATAAAATACACGTCACACTTTTGGCGCAATATAAACTTTATGTGCCTGTGTAGAGGCAGTCAGAAGCAAAGTGGGGCATATATTTTGAACCATTTTGAAGCTTCGAAAAAGATCAACCAATTTCTTAATATTTCTGTTTCAAGACAGATCTATTTCTAGACAGTTTTTTTTCTGAAACGAAAACTAAATTGTCTGTGTCCTTATAATAGTCAATAATTGCATTTATGGATTTCGACAATTGTCTCGTAACTTTTTATAGCTTGAAGAATTTTTAAAACAGAACTAAATTTGAAATAATAATTTTTTGGGCGCCACTTCACTACTTGCTAAGTTTGAACTCTGTTCTCTTCTTATTAAATTTACACATGAAAAAAAGACGATTTATTTAGTTATATTCAACACAAGATAATGTGTAAGTTCCTCAACAAACTGCTCTATCTCTTTTTGATCGATTGTATGTTTGTTCTATTCGGCATTTTTGATAAGTAGTTGATTGCTAGGTACTACGTAGGTGTAAATATTATAAATGCCTGCAGGTGTCTAGTAACAATATATACTTTTAGTCAAAAGGCTCAGCTTAATTTTTAAATAGATGCTTTCAAAAGGCAGTAAGTTTGTGATTCATATTGATTGATGATAAAACTTCCACGACTTTGAAATGTAAGTATTTTTGTAAATTATTTAAGTAAATTATATAATATTATTTTGTAGGTATAGTAAATGATTTGATTATAGACTTGATTACAATACCTATTTCATCCTAAACTAACACCAACCTTAAATAAACTGCCCAGAGGAATCACAGCGCTTTAAATACAATAAAGATTATTTCTCAATGACAGCGCATTAGATACGTAAGTTATTTTCCTGTGAAAGAGTTGACATTCTCTATTTTTACAACATAGTTTCTGCAAAATTGCCAGACTTTTCGATAATATATGCCCGAAAACATCTCACAAAAATCCAATCGAGCGGTGCTCTAGTTAATTAAAATTCCAGAAAAGACAAGCTACAAAAGCAAAATTCAATATCTTTCTGGTATTGTATACCCTTTGGACGGATATATAGAAATGCCGGGCGCATTTCCGGCACATAAAGGCGTCCATAAAGCCTTTCACTCAATTAGGTGCCTAAAGTTTTTTAGACTGTCTATGTGTTACGCATGAAAGGATAAGATAGCACATGATTATTATTTTTGCAAATATTATTATTTCCAATTGGCTAAAATATCTTTAAGGTTTATTATTATAGCTTCGATAGTTTGTATATTTTTTTACAAAATATGTCTTATGTTCGACACCTTTCATAAAGCTCTAAACAGAAACCACTCCTACAAATCAATAAGCTCGTTATGGATCCAATACCAACAGGTCTCAAGTGACCATATCCAAACTATTTTTTTGTACTTTCAATATTGTCTTCATGGACCCTCAAGATGACTTGAGGTTTTACATTAGTGTCCGGTTGATTTAATCATCGCAGTGTTCAGATATATATTCAAAGTATCAGATTAAAATTTCTAAAGCTCATTAAACTTGCATCTATAAACATATTAACATATTAGGATGGAGTCATGTGTAGAAGTTCACGCAAGTGAGGAAAGTTTTCTGATCGCCATTCACTTGGGAGTGGCCAGAAACGATTCTTTTACATATGACTCAAGCAGCTCACGACTTCCGGCCCTTGACCAAGTATCCTCTGGGTAGCCTAAGAACATCCGTTTGAAGGCGAGCTAAAGTGAGAAGGCGAAACATTCCCTGCATAGGGTTGTGCGCTGGGTTTGGGACCCGCCACATAATAAAACCAACCCAATGAAAACGCAACAACAACCTCGGATGAGAGACCCCACTTTTGATCTCTCTCGACAAACAAAACCCAAACTCTATAAGTCACTCATAATTCCCGTCCTGCTATATGGTGCAGAGGCTTGGACCATGTCAACAACGGATGAGTCGACGTTGCAAGTTTTCGAGAGAAAAGTTCTGCGAAAGATTTATGGTCCTTTGCGCGTTGGCCACGGCAAATATCGCATCCGATGGAACGATGAGCTGTTCGAGATATACGACGGCATTGAAATAGCGGCGGGGGAAGCAGAGGAAGAGGAACACCTCCACTCCGTTGGAAGGACCAAGTGGAGAAGGACCTGTCTTCACTTGGAATATCTAATTGGCGCCACGTAGCGAAAAGAAGAAAGGACTGACGCGCGGTTGTTAACTCGGCTATAATCGCGTAAGCGGTGACTACGCTAATGAAGAAGAAGAAAAAGAAACATATTAACATTTGTCCTTCATCTGCTATCGAAATTAGTAAGAGAGAGGTTTTCCGACATCGTTTCTTGCATAATATTCAGCGTCATTGGTACTAAAAAGCTACCCTGGAAGACATGTTTGTATTTGAGATTTATATGACGCTTGTAACTACCACATCTTTGGTGGATCATTTTAAAATAAAGAAAATTATATAAGTAGCTTGAGGAGGAGGTCTGTAATAAATAAATCCGCTAGATGGCGCTGAAGTTAAGTAGGTAGAATAACTTGCATTTGTGAGGGTAACTGAAGTGCAACCGTGTCTCCTAGGATTACAAATAACTTATTAATAAGATAATTGAATTAAAATTGAAATTATTGTTTTTTTTTTTTGTAATTCTTTAATATCGAAAATCTTAATTAAAAGCAAATTTCAAATATTATGTTCCGAATTATTATTATTAAATAAATATAATTTTCACCGTATACCGTTTGAAATATTAAAAATAAAATTTTCAATTCCCAAAATGGGACTCAAAATTTATAATAAAAATTTCAAACGCGAATTTAAACGTAATAAAAAAGATATTAATGGCAAGTTTATAATTAATAATTTAAAGAAATAATAAAAAAAATCTTTGTTACTCCAAATTTGAAATTAAAAATTATTATATCCATTTTTAATTTTAATTTCCATAAAAAAATATCAATTTAATAAAATACTATAGTTGCGTTTGATGGCACTGATGGTATGGGCCTTGAAAAATTTGGTACCGAAATAAATCTCTTTCTCTCCATTATATGTTATTGGCAATAGAATGAATTACATAGATCATTTCCTGCAAATCAATTAGCTTTACTTCAATTAGGGTAGACACAACTTGAAGATGAGATCTATTGAAAAAATTATTAAAATTAAAACGTTAAACGTGGTTACAGAGAGTTAGACTTAAAATCTTAGCTATTTGCACTTTTACTACGCAGAAACCACTTATTATCTAATTCAATGGCACTCTTTTGCCTACATAATCAATTAATGACTTTCAAACCTTTGTAGCAATCTAACCTACTTATGTAATTAGCTAAAGCAAATCTTTACATTAACATTGACTTTCATAATTTCACTTTATGTACATATCCATGTATGTCGGTAGGTACGTATGTATATATGGTATATATGTAGATAAATGCATATTTACAAATGTGTGCATGGTACCAAAATAAAAGTGGCGTTAACCATCAGGTAAACTAAACAATATCTACAACCGAAATCTACCACATGAAATTTGAACAAATTGGTTTTTATAGCAGCATATGTATGTTCGAAAATGATTAGAATTCTGTCTGCTGCAGCGTCTCTAAAGAGGACTTCTTCAACAATCTCGCTTGCGAGGAATCAGAGCTTTCGCTAATGCGATGCGTAAACAACGGTGACATTACACTATAACCATCTGGTGTGGTCGCTTGAAAATCATCCAAACTGAACGTTTTATTATGTATCGTATTATTATTGTTGTTGTTATTGTTCAAAAGCGGTGTTGGAGACACATCTAATGTATAGCTGGCAGGAATTTCTAGGGTCTCATGTACGACTGACTCAGTGCTACCGATTAAATCATTAGAGTCTATAAAATGGTTCGTCACATTGGTTTGCGGTAAAATATCCAGCGTTGAATCACACCTGAACGGTGAGCATTTCCGTGATTTAGGTAAAAGTTCCACTTCATCACTTTCGATTTCGGGCATTTCTACCGAAGCGCTCGGTACATCTAAACATGGCGTCAATAAGCGTGGATAATTCGAAATGTGATCGATAATCTCTGAAGCAGTTGGACGCTTTTTGGGTTCATGACTCCAACAGGCTTTAAGCAAACCCTCTAATTGTGGCTTCGCACCGGTCGGTATTTGCAAAGTTTTGCCACTTTTAATATATTCAAAAGCCTGATTGTTAGTTAGACCTTGATATGGATAAGAACCGAAAGTGATTATCTCGTATAGCACAACACCAAACGCCCAAACATCTGAGGCAGGCGTGAACATGCCGAAAGTTAGAGACTCCGGCGCCATCCAGCGTACAGGCAACATGCCTTTTCGATTGAAACGATAGTAGTCGCTCTCGTATGTGGAGCGCGCCATACCGAAATCGCCGAGTTTGACGACACGCTGGGCATTCACCAGACAGTTGCGACAAGCCACATCGCGGTGTACATACTTTTCGCTGGCGAGGTAAGCGAGTCCACGCGCCACATCCATGGCATACATGGTTAAACGTTTCGAGGAGACATCCGAGTCTTCGGTCACCTTCTCGTTGAGCAAGTGTCGGCGCGCCAGCAAGTATGTTTTCAAATCGCCATAAAGCATGAACTCCATGATGGTGTAAATTGGTTCGGTTTGCAGGCAAACACCCAAGAGTGTGACTATGTTATTGTGATTTAAACGTTTCATAGCCTCTGCTTCGGATAAAAAATCTAAACGATCTTCTGTGGAGGCGCCAGCTTTTAGCGTCTTGACTGCCACTGCCGTCCAACCACTGGCACCAATCTGTGCCTCACCACCATACACCATGCCGAACGCCCCTTTACCCAAGCGCCGATTAAGCACCACATTCTCTTTCGGCACTTCCCATTTGTCAAGCGTGTTGCTCTTATTACGCGACGGTGACAGCAAGTCAATACCGAAATTTTTCATTATTTTCGCTGAACGCTTCAGTTTCTTGTCGTAACGTTTCTTCCAGAAGAGAAAAGATGTTAGCGAAACAATTGCCACAAATAAAAGACACACCACAGCCGTGAACGTGAAGGCTGCGCTCTCACAATCCTTATTGAGTAGTTTTGCTAACAGTGCAAAACTACAGTCGTACGTCCCATCGCTTGGTCGCTGACCACCGCTTTCCAACCATGTCACTTTAGCTTCATTCAATTGCAAGCGGCCACCATTGGTACGCATAAGATTGCCCTCACCTACAATACGTGGATTAAATTTGCCAACATAATGAAATTGTGTATTGCGCCATTGCACGATGTCTAAATCGGTGATGCGCGAACCGCCTTGGCCGAACTGTACACGGCCAGAGAGTCCCGTGAAATTTGTCTGCCAAATGAGCTGTACCAAACGCGTCACTACACTTTTACTACGCAAATTATTTACCGCGTCTTCGTTCTCCGTGAGCAACTTTGCCACTGCGTAGGCGTAAGCCCAAACGGCATCATATGCGTAACCGGTGTAATTCGAGAGCACATCATTTGTTTGGGAATGTGTATGTAGCCATTCTCGTACGGTTATATTTTCCTGCATGGTAGCATTAAGATCGCCAAAAGGTGTGTGCATTATGCTGAAATGACCTTCTATAGCCTGGGGGAAAATAGTTAAATTAACTATTGTATTCTTCAAAAACACTACACATGTCCTTACCTTATTTAAGTGCTCTTTTGTACAATTGTGATTAAAAGCCAAAGTGCTCCAGTCTTTAGATATCCATGAAGGCAAGAACCAAACATAACCGTCGTAGGCTGTCATCTATGGAGGCAGATCCAAAATTTTATTAAACGTTAATAATCCGAAGTCTTAGTTTATTTATATGGCAAGATTGTATATAAATTTTTCTTGAGAAAATCCCAGCCATTGTATCGAACTACTGAATAAAAAGACTTGTATTGATATCTGAATATAACGTAACCACAGCAGGAACACTTTTGTCTCACTTTCAGCAAAATTGAAAGAGATCGAAGACCCAATATATTTTTATATTATTTTATGGCTGACTTCACTAAAGCTTACCCAGCACTGATCAACTACTACCGCATAGTATTCAGTACCCTACAAGATATTTAATGAACTCTTCGACCACAAAAGGTTCGCTTTCCCTTTTTCGCACTTCATTTTTGAATGCATCCCTGTGAAATAACAGAAACTCAAACAAAATGACTCACCAGATTTGAATTTTTCGGTTATGTTCAAGTCGTTTCTTCGATTCAACTATAGAAGTTTTCCGAAGCTACAAAGGAATAGTCTTTATCAGTCCAAGTGTATCCCAAAATACTATTTTCAAAAATGAACGAATAAATTTATTTAAAAAAAAACTTTGGGTATATACGACTCCGAAGCTTCAACTTCATCAAATACAGTCACTGCTAGTAGTTTATAGACAGTGAAGGCAATGAAGTTTTCATCGATACCAAAAAAGCACAGAGTAACTAAACCGCTTAACTTTAAAATATCGAAAACGCCCAAGCGTACCTTGAATGGCAGATACTGAAATATTTTCGAAGTTTGGTATATCTTATCTAATAATACTCGACCCTTTTAAGAGACAAATTCAACGGACTTTGTGTAATTTACTTTGAAATATTTTAGCAAAACCTTTCTATGACGCTCTAATAGCCAACCTGGTTTACAAAAGTTGCGGAAGAAACCAGAAAAAATATATTTACTGTTATACCCTGAACAGGGTATATTAAGTTTGTCACGAAGTTTATAATACCCAGAAGGAAGGGTCGGAGACCCTATAAAATATATGTATTATATAAATGATCAGTATATCGAGCTGAGTCTATTTAGCCATGTCCGTCTGTCTGTATATATACGAACTAGTCCCTCAGTTTTTACGATATCATTTTGAAATTTTCCAAAGGTCATTTTCTCTTCAAGAAGCTGTTCATTTGTCGGAACTGTCGATATCGGACCACTATAACATATAGCTGCCATACAAACTGAACGAACGGAATTAAGTTTTTGTATGAAAAATTTGCGCATTTATTTCCATAAAAGTTGGCACAGATTATTTTCTAAAGCAAAAATATAATCTCCGAAGAAATTCTTCAAATCGGTTAACTATAGCATATAGCTGCTGTACAAACTGAACGATCGGAATCAAGTTCTTGTATGGAAAACTTTCACATTTGTCAAGATTCACTAAATTCACGAAATTTGGTATAGATAATTTCCTGAGCCGACAATATAATCTCCGAAGAAATTGTTTAGATCGGTTAACTACAGCATATAGCTGCCACACAAACTGAACAATCGGAATCAAGTTCATGTATGGAAAACTTTCACATTTGACGTGGTATCTTCACGAAATTTTACATGGATTACTGCTTAAGGTAATAATATAATCTCCAAAAAAAGATCGGATTACTATAGCATATAGCTTTCATACAAACTTACTAACAGAAGTGCACCTGTGAAGGGTATTTAGCTTCGGTGCAACTGAAGTTAACGTTTTTTCTTGTTTTTGGATTAAATTAAGGCAGTTAATCCCATACTGATTATAGCCTTGAATTTACTGTCTGATATCACGATGTTCGATCCCTTTTATTTCATAGTTTGTCAATCTTCAGGCAAAAAAATAACACATTAGCTCATAATGACTCTGGCTTTCCTTGCCGCAAGGTATTATGAGTAACGTTCCATCGGAAACCCCACTAAGAAATTTTAAGCCATTTACTATATATTTATACTCTCGCAACAAAGTTGCTAAAGAGAATATTATAGTTTTGTTCAAATAACGGTTGTTTGTAAGTCATAAAACTAAAAGAGTCAGAATCCGGATGTCTGTGTGTCTGTCCGTCCGTCTGTCTCTCCGTCGGTGCAAGCTGTAACTTGAGTAAGAATTGAGATATCATGATGGAACTTGGTGCACGTATTTCCTGCCTCCATAAGAGGTTAAACTCGAAGATGGACAAAATCGGCCCACTGCCACGCCCACAAAATGGCGAAAATCGAAAACCTATAAAGTCTCATAACTAAGCCATAAATAAAGATATTAAAGTGAAATAGGGCACAAAGGATCGCATTAGGGATGGGCATACTTGGACGTAATTTTTTTGGAAAAGTGGGCGTGGCCCCGCCCCCTACTAAGTTTTTTGTACATTGTACATATCTCGGAAACTACTATAGCTATGTCAACCAAACTCTACAGAGTTGTTTCATTCAGGCATTTCCATATACAGTTTAAAAATAGAAGAAATCGGATAATAACCACGCCCACCTCCCATACAAAGGTTTTGTTGAAAATCACCAAACGTGCATTAACCGACTAAAAAAACGTCAGAAACACTAAATTTTACGGAAGAATGGCAGAAGAAAGCTGCACCCAGGCTTTCTTTAAAAATTGAAAATGGGCGTGGCGTCGCCCACTTATGGACCAAAAACCATATCTCAGGAAGTACTCAAACGATTTCAATGAAATTCGGTATATAATATTTTCTTAACACCCTGATGACATGTACCAAATATGGGTGAAATCGGTTCACAACCACGCCTCTTCCAATATAACGCTATTTTGAATTCCATCTGATGCCTTCTCTGTATAATATATACATTAGGAACCAATGATGATAGCGGAATAAAACTTTACACAAATACGGTATTTGATGCGGGAGCATAAAATGTTCGGTGACATCCGAACTTAGCCCTTCCTTACTTGTTTTCGTATTCATATGTAACAACTTACACCTAAATTATAGGCCTCACAAAGCGCCAGCTCAGCATTCCTACTATGTATATCCGCAATAATGATCTTGGCGTGCTTTTCTTTTAGATCCAATAAATGCTAAAATCAAATATTTTAATGATAAAAATTATTATTTGACAATCAATTTAAGTGATATTCGACTTACTTTGTTCATTTCCGAAGCCTTCACATCACTTAAGAACTTCTTATTGATAATCAATTCCAAATTTTGTTGTTTCATAGCCGCCTCCATATGCGATATATACTCGGTATACTTTTGTCCATCCTCCGTAAGTGCGGCAACACGTTTCCAACCCAAAAATTTCATTAGCTCCACATACACGGCCTCATACTGACGATTTGAACCGATCGTACGAAAGAAGTACGGATAAGCACGACGATCGGTAAATGTGGCGCCCTCTGCCGAGTACGATATCACCGCCATATTGGTATGCTTCGATATGCCCGCTATTGGTTCGACGGTTTCACTGCAAGCTGGACCCAGCACACCCAAGACACGCGGCTCGGAAAAATAATGTATAAATATCTTCATAACCTCGTCCGCTTTACACTGACCGTCGTGAGTTTTCGCATCGATATTGTAATTCTTCAGTAAACCGCTATGATTTACAGCTTTAACGGCCTGTCTAACGGCTTTCTCGAGATTCTGATGACCACGACTGAAGTCCGTTAATGGAAATATGCCACCAATATATAATGTAATTGGCGACTTAGAACTAATCCATTGTTTGTATGTATTCTCGTTGGACTTTAGCCAATCGCATGCCACTTTATTGTACACATCCTCGACACTGGTTTCGGTGCTGTGCCAATGTGGACTCAGCTGTAACAACTGAAGCATGTGATCGGATATTTGAAATTCACGCAAAGCGGACACCAAGCGCTCGTCGGTCAGACTTTGCTCATAGTACTTGAGTACCGGTGTGAGCTCATATTTGCAAGCGGTTAAATGTAATACGGACAAGTCTTCACAACGCGGCAACGTGATTTGATAGAACTCAATTTCGCCATCGATCACAATGGATGGCGTCCAGTGCACCACAATAAAGCGTTTATGACGCAATTCAGCGCTAAGTTTGTCCTGATATTTGCCATGGAGTTGACGCAGCTTCTCACGAAAATCCGCACCCAACCAAAGCACGTTGACATAACTGTTGGTACTAGCTATATGATGCATGACGAAGGCGGTGTCGGGTTTGTGCTCGGCCAACAGTGTGACACATGTTCTTCCCACGCAATTTGGACTTATGTATTCCTCGTAGCTATTAAAATTTTATACTTACTACTTGGATATATTTGGAACACGAGTATGTGAGTCGTGATATGTATTTTACTCACTTTTTACCGACACGCATTTTATCTAGAATTTCTACCGGTATTACGTAACGTCCATAATCGCCATGCGTTTGATTGAGAAGTATGCTGTAGTGTAGACTGTATGCAGCCAACTCTAGCGGCATATCGACTTGTGTTTTCGGCACAAACCAGCCGAAGCGTCCGGGTGTTATTGATATGCCAGCTTCCAAAACTGTTTCCGGCACTATAGATCGCACCACCGCTGGCATCCAAACAGCTACATTGATCATTGTCATAATCCCGTCAGGCAAGTATCTGCAAAACACGGAATAGTTATGATTTCAAAAATCTTTTTTTGCAGGTTTTGGATAATTATTTTTTTCAAAGAAAATACCAGCCAAGGTTAACATGTACAAAACTTCACAACGGCATCTCAATTATAATTCAAGTTACAAATTGCACATAACAACATATTGCGAGAGAATACAAAAACATTTTTCCAGTATATCCACTTTTAGATATTTGAAATTTTCAACCAATCAATTAATTTTGTTTTTTGTGTTTTATTTACCTCAACTGATCGAATATGTTGCGATAATTGATCTCTTCAAATTGATATACAGACACATTGACTGTATTTACGAGCGGCACTAGTGAGACATTACGATAATGAAGTTTCTCACGCAAAACGATGGCAAAAATGCGACTCATTACTTGATGTAAGGCGCGATCGGAAACTTGCAGGCCAATTGAATCATCTCGTACATTTGGGAAATTTGGTAATGGTTCTGTAAATAAAAGAACGAATAATTAAATGCATGACAATAATTTTAACAAAACTGATATCGAGAATCAATACACTACTCTCTGCTTAAAATATGGTTCCTGAAAATTGAAAGGGTTTGATAACTTTAACTTTTCCGAGTTCTTAAACAACTTTCAATTGTTACCAACCAACTGTGAATGCTTAGCTTTTTAGCGAATTTCTCTATATTTAAGTTCCATAAAATTATATGAACATACTTAAGGTTATAACTTGTCATGGAGCCGCTGTAGTGTGGTGGACGGACATGCGGAAATTTACGTATCGGAAGCCAACAGAAAAGCTTCAGCGGTTTGCTACACTGGCATAATGGGAACCCTAAAAACCACTCCAACGGCAGCTCTTGAAATGTATTAAACCTGCTTACCCGTTGGCTCAAAACCGCAGGGCAAAATCAGCGGGATGACTGCTGACAGCGGGAGAATTTTCAGATGAAATCTTCGGTCATAGTTCATTTCACTTCTACGGAGTGCCAGATTACATCGATGGCAATGAGATAGTGGGAGAGATTGCAAAGAGTTGTATACGACTGTCGACTATAAACGTGACTGGCATAGGTAATTTCACGCATTGTCTATAATACTTGCACAACGGAGGATCAGAATGATTCAAAAATACTCTTGATAGAAAGGACTGTAGGATCATAGTGTGCTGACGGCATCCGTCTGCAGAATGGACTGACAAACCGAAAGGACTGCGGGAAATTTCAAGAGCAAGGCAACAGGGAAACAATGAAGTATATATTTTGCACTTGTCCTGCATTCAACGCTTAAACATGCCTCACGGTATGAGACACTGAAGAGATATCGTTTGTGAGACCGTATAACCTAATGATTATTATATTAAACGCTGGCGTACTGAAGGATGACAACTTCTCGTGAACTACTGAAAGACACTTCACTAATCTGACATCGCTAAAGACAAAAACTGGTCAATGTGTGGCTAATTAGCCGACCAGACTAAATTAATCTAACCAATCATGGAGGCGCTTTATAAGTCAGATAGTTTTAGAATTAAATTTCAGGATGCGCAGTGCTTCTAAGCTCAACTAAAATAATTTGAAAATAGTATGATCTGCCTTCACACATATATACATAAGTAAATGTATTAATTATAAATATATTAGTATCGAATTGTAAATCTAATTTTTAACATTACCGTCATTCGTGAAACATTTGTAATCAAAATTATGTGGATATTTCTTTTTGTATGCAGTGCTTGCCAACGCTTCTGTAGACACCATTCCTTCACTTGCTGCTATTTGCCCGAATAAGAGCACAAGAGCAACAAACCAACATAGTTGAAAGGTTGGCCGCAGTGTTCCAAACGAAATACGCTGCATATTTGAGCCGAGATTCAGTCTTAAATTCTGGTGTAAATTAAATGCTTAGAATCGGCAGTCGAGGTACCGCTTTCACTTCAACGTTTGCGCATACGTGGTTTCCTCGCCGTCGTCCTGGTCAAAGTTTTTAGTTCATTCCATTTATTTCGGTAATATTTTTGTATCTCTTAATTGTCTTTTTCAAATTTTCGTTCGATTTTTATTTGCACTTAAGTGTGAATTTTTTTCTTGCAATTTTGTTTCGCAAGCACACTAACTAATTTAATTTTTATCCGATTTTTATATCAGTAGCGGAATGGCAGCTTATTATTATTATTATTATTTTCTTATTTTGTTCTCAATATTTATGTATATTTATTCGAGATACAATTTAATTGTATTTTTTAATGTCTATAAGCCAGTATACTTTTTTTTTCTGAAAATGAAGAATTGAAAAGGAAGAATGGTTAATAAATTATTAAGAGTTTAAATACACTAAGTATAATATATTTTAACTAAGACGAGAAAAAATAAGGTATTCGACTATTCGTTGGCATTAAAGTAAACTGAGTTTATTTAAACAATCAGTTGCATTGAAGATATACACTCGTTCGATTTTATTGTAATTTCTTGCCAACTTTCTATTAATCCTAAGTAAAAACCTTTCAAAATGGCTTAAGTAAAAGAGTTGTAACACAAAATCTCATTTCTTGGAATCGATTGTATAGCTATATACATATGCAATAGTCAGTCGTCTGGGATTATTTTCATTTATGTACTATATATGGTATGGTTGCTAACAGGTGGCTCTTTCGACGATCAAAGACCAAATTCGACAAATCCTTCACCATTCGGATCGATAGACTGTAGGAGATATACTACTGTGAGCCAAAAATAGTAAAACTTTATTCATATTTCGAAAATTTATTCTTCAAAATCAATGTCGTCCCCCTCAAAGTAATCCCCCTTGGCCACAATACGCTTGTGCCAACGTTTTTTCCAATCCTCGAAAAAGTTGTTACGAGTCAATTTCAGAAATAGCCTTCAATGCATTTAGAAAATTTACATTTAATGCCTTCAATTAACTCGAAACGCTTTAACTGGAGCAGTCATTTGAGTTTGCTAAATAACCAGAAGTCACACGGAGTTAAATCGGGCGAATACGGTGATTTCGGCAAGATTTTGGTTGGCAATTTGTAGAAAAACTGACGATGAATCAACGCAGTATGCGACGATGCATTATCGTGTTGCAAAAACTAAAATTTGTAGGCCCATAATTCCGACTTCTTTTTACAAATAGCTTCCCGCAAACGACGCATTAGACTCAAGTAGTATTCCTTGTGAAAAATTTGAACCGTTGGAAGGAAATCGGAGCGTACACCTCGAAGAAAACTGTCAACATAACCTTGATTTTTGACATGCTTTTTTCGGCTTCCGTTCACCTTTGTCAGGATATGCGGCCGATTGATCTTCCGTTAGTTAGCGGTAGTAATAATATGTTTGATGATATTCTGATAGTCGGAAAGCATGGTTTCAAAAACGTTAACGATGGTTTTAAATGTTAAAATGGTTTTCACTCATCCTTCCGATATTCTAACGATGCCGATAGGATCAAGCACTAATTCCTTTATTCCGTGGTGCGTCGTCAACACGTTCTCAACCCTGTTTGTATAATTTCTACCAACCAAAAACACTTGTTCGCGATAAACAATTACGCCTTTTCCAATATTCTGAACGTTTCGGCACCAGCAATTTGATTCCGCACACAAAATTTAATGGAACTTCTTTGTTGAATAATTTCACTCAAATTGCCGAACTAAACAGTAATGATTATTTTGATTTGACATTTGGCCTAGGCATTGACTTAGTTCAGTGAATTAAGAGACAGCGGCTGCGCTGGCCTTCCAGCCTTGAAGGTTTTCGAAGCAAAGGAAGACCTGAACTAGGTTGGAGTTATCAGGTGATGAAGGACCTGACGTAAGTAAGAAAGTTTTGAGTTTTCATTGCATTGCATTGTCTCACATTCGAACTTGGATCAGGTTATATATAATATGTTTTGGTTAGTTTAGAAAAATTTTTAATTGAAATGTATTTGAATTGCGAGTTTTAGAGATAAAACTTTAAAATTTAACATGTCTTAAATTAGTTAAAAAATAAATTTCAAAACCCAACCTATAAAAAAGTACTTTGGAGGAGAACTCACCATCATCAGAAATTTAAAATTTGCTTAAAACATTTGTCGGTTATTAGTCACAAAGTCATCCTCAAAGGAGGATGTTTTTAATAAAACTAAATTAGTATTTGTTTTGAATCTTTGATCTCACTCATCTTGAACTAATGCAGCAGATTTTTAATATTATATTTAACTGGTAAATAGATTTATTGAAGGAAGTAAATTAAAATATTAATATTATACCCTTATCGCTCATTCCACGAACTCTAAAACGAACATTCGCAACCCATAGGAAAATGTTTTAATTCAATATCTGCAAATATCCATATTTATTACCCCAAGTATACATATGTGCATTACTTATTTTACATTGCATTACACACTGCCATAGCCATTAGAGCAACAAATATAATCTCAGTGTTTCAGTTACATAACCTCACTTGATTGACAAGTGCGATTACTGAATTCAATTCATTGATCAAATTCGTTTGAATTCGATTATTTATATGCAGACATTTTACAAATCACTAGTAAACAGCAAAATGCTACAATATAAACCAAGAGAACATATGCATGAAAATTGTTAAAATTGATAGAGACAGTTGGATTTGATGAATGAGAGCCTAATAGTTATAGTTAGTGTAGGTCTCATCTACTTTTCCATCTTTTTTTTTTTTTTTTTTTTTTTTTTTTTTTTTTTTTTTTTTTTTTTTTTTTTTTTTTTTTTTTTTTTTTTTTTTTTTTGAGGAGTCGAATTTTTTGGAAAAGGCTACTTTTGTATTAGAATTGTACGAAAAGGATTGGTGCCAGTGAGCTGATAAATTTTTGCGATCCCATGTGAAGAGAATGCACCTATCACGCTGTCAAGTGTTTAATATTCATTGTTTTCCTCTCGAAATTTCGATAATTATGTAACTGAGTATTGACATCAAAATGACACTAAATATTTTCGAATTAAAGTAGCGTCGTAGTGCAGTGTTTGCATTTTTTTTTTGTTTTTCAAAATGTTGTATTGAAAAATATTTTTGTGCTCAAAACAACGTATTGTAACCTAATAGGGGACTTACATAAGGCCACTCACTCTGGTTATCGCATTATATATTATATTATAAGCGCCTTTAATGGCTTCAAGCAGAGAAAAAGGCAACAGTCGCGTGCTTTTTTCGCTGAGTCATTACTTTTATGCAGCACTGTATGTTTTCCTGTATCGAATAACAAAAGTTCATTGTTTCACTTACATACCAGTGGAAAATGCCAATGCTGCTTTTTGGTTGAAAACAAAATATTTTTAAGGAAAAGTCGCATGGATGGCAAAATTGTTGTCAACAAGTTTTATTATTTTATTCAATAAGGCTTTGTCTAATTGAGCTTAGGTGTGCATAATTCCCCTTTTAGCTTGAACTGTTTTATAAAACTGGTGTAGAATATTGACCCTCGTAAATAAATATGATTTTTATTGCGAGTAGAAAGACATTGTGAACCCTCTAACAAGATCTTCTTACCCAGCTGATGTTAGGAATAAAATGCAAATATTTTTAATTGTTATTTCCAAAAGCTGTTTTTCTGTCGTACTTTTTTTAACCACATTATTGCACCGAAATCAATAAAAACGTACTTTTTTTTGTAAAGCCCCGATATAAATATGTAAGGTTTAAAAAGCAATAATCACAAAACTATAATGTGTTCAAGGGAATACAATCTGTTAATTTTGTAAAGATATGCTATATATTGACCGATATACATATATGGGGTAAAGTGAACCAAAGTTGGAAAATCACTATATTAGATATATACTTCATGTACGTAACCGATTTTACAAATTATTATCTGTAGGCTAGGAAATGTGTTGACCGAATTTGCCCATTTATACATAAGAGTATTAGAAGCACTGTTAGTAATAAGTTTTATTCCGATCCAGAAAGCTGGTGGGGTATCACACTTGGACTGCTATATACAGTCCTTCGTTAAGACAGATAAAACTTTTCTAGTGTTATATATTTACTCTTGACTAAGCGCTTTGAACTTAGCACAAATCTGCTAAGTTCTTTTTTATTTCTACACCCGGATCATTGCAAATACGAAGGATTTTACTACGCCTTCCACCATACAACAATTTCTTAAAACATTATGGCCTTGACGATGGTTCCATAAAACCATAGGAATACTTTTGGGGGGAGACTTTATTCTTTACCAATAACTCCTCTTGTGCAGCATAAAGCAACCGATGCCTTTCTTATACATCCTTCCTTGAAATTCTTCAACATAATGCCCACGCCCGTTGACAGAAAATAACGATGTGAGATATCTATGCACCTATGAGAGCTGCCCCCGCCACGAGATCAAAATTTAACGCCAGGGTGGGCAACAAAGTTTTCTTTGGTACACGGTTCGGTGAATTCAGCCTCCATGTAGAAACATCCTCAAATGGGTTGAGTCTGATCGACTTAGCAGGGTTCCGAAATATGGTTGTCTGTAGTACTAGATTCCAGCATCGAAAAATTCCCCAATCAACCTGGCTATTTTCGGACCGAAAAGCCACCAACCAGATCGGTCATGTTATAATAGACGGAAGATACGTAATTGACTTTTAGAATCAAACTGTTTGATTTGTATGATCAAACATTACAACTTAAATAAGATTCTTTAGATTCTTACCATTTGTGGGAGGAAAACAAAGACCTTATTCAAGCTGAGGAATCTTTCGTTCTTTCCAGTGTTATAGACGTGCGTACGCTCCGAGGTCATAGCAATGACTCAGACCAATATATTGTTGGAGCCAAGATACGCACCCGCCACTGTCCAGCAGCAAATGCACGTCAACAAACCCAACGTAGGTTCGACGTCGAGAAGCTGCAATCACAACAAACAGTCGACCCTTGTTCTGTTCGACTTGCACTCATCAGCAACTCGGTATAAGGGAACGTGGGACGGCATATCAAGCTCCCAACGTACAGCATACACGACAACTGGAATTTAATTGTGCTTTGCCCAATCCACAAAAGGAGACCCCAGAGTCTGCGTCAACTACCGTGGTATAAGGTTTTATCGAGCGTATTCTGTGAAATACTAAAATCCTCCGTAAACAAACTGCTTGGACCTTATCAGTGTGGATTTAGGCCTGGAAAACCAACAACTAACCAGATATTCATCATGCGTCAAATATCGATTTTAAAGTTGCTTTTGACTTCACGAAAAGGAGCTGTCTTTATGCCGCTATGTCTGTGTAAACTGGCGTTGAGCAATATCAAAAGCTCCGTGAGGAT